AGGTAACTGAAAACAATACTCATATTATATTTAGAGAAACTGCAGTTAATCAGGAAATTCTCCACTGTGTTTTGGCCTGAAGGAAGACTATTGGTCACAGTCTGACTTACTTTTTCAAAGCAATTCAAAATTAATGTTTGAAGAGAAGCATGCCATGTAAGTCCTATATTTGATTTTAGTTTATTTATATATTTTCCTTCTTTTGTATTGGGAGGAAAGAAGCTTAAGGCATAGAGAGACACCCATCAAGCTGAGTTCTTGACATTTGGAGAGAAAAGAAAATGAAGGCACCGAGATCAGTCCAGAATACAGCTTGTAGGATAGGCCGACAGGCCAGCTTGCCTTAGTCAGACTGGCTGAGCCACAGTGAACCAAGGTCAGTGGTTATTAATCACTTGCCAGTGTCTACAGGGCTTTATCAGATAATGATAGTTATACTCATGTTTATAACACACAAGCATGTGGCAAAGCTGCAAAGGACTCAGGCGCTAACACAATCTGCAGAGACATTTCAAAAACTACAGATAAGTGATAAACCACAAAGTCAACACTTCAGGAAACCATGTCAATCACTCCTGTTGGGGCATTCTAAAATTACCTTCTATATTGTATATTGCATAAACATTTAGAAACTCAAAGAGCCTTGGACTACCTCCCTCACTTTCCAGTGGGTTAAAGAATAGCAAGCATAAATATTTGAGATAAAAGACTGGGTATCGATTCCACTCATATGAACAGACAAGCAGAACATAATCACAGCTTATTTTTAAAAAATCCTTCCTAACAAAAACAGTGGTGATAAGGGCGGTAGAAGTAGTCATGGTCAAGAAGTCAAGAATTCATGACATTAAGTCATCTATTCATAAATACATAGGTATATGTATCATATTAGCTGCGATTATCAATCTCTTACTTTTTTAATAAAATAAACTGTTAAAAAATTAAATCCTATTCTTGAGATAAAATGTTGAGCTGCTTTGAAGAATGTACATAAACATATAAATAGAGGTGCCTGAGGGGCAGCTCTGAACCCCACAAACCAATAGGTGGCATTTGAAAATATACAGGCAGCATCCATTTTGCTCTGTTTGGCAGCAAACATGCTAGAAGACATTTCTCAACATGAATGAACTGTGAAATTGTTTCCTCCTACCCAACATTCCTCTAAATTGTATTAGATTATGTTAGCCTTTTCTGCACCTTGTCATAAAGGCTGTCAGTGCCCCAAGAGGCAGTGAAGTGAGTGCTGGGAGCAAGGACCCCAAGTGTCTGAGATGCTGCCTGAATGGGAAGTGGCTCTATTGCAATGTAGATATTCAAGGGAATACGGTGAGGTGAGCCATGTGTTGTATTCCACTTAGTACACTTCTCAGGAAATCATTAGCTCTCTGTCCCTCCTCCATCCAAAGTCAAACAGTGCCCAATGAGTACAAATGAATCCTTTAACTCTGAGGAAAACAATATATGAATAAATGCAGTGTTTTAGCTATTTTTATTCTAGAGTCAACTCTTTAAAACCCAGACTTGCTTATTTTGTGGATTACATGCTATCTTTAAGCATACACACAAAACTAAGAAAGTAATTATGTTACAGAATAAAATTTTTTCAGAACAAAATGTAAATGAAAGATTTTGGGCTGCTCTGTTACATTAACAAAGTTAATTAAAGCTGAGCTTTTAACTATAAATGTATGTGGGTATGAACATATACCATTTGAAAATCTTCACATGCAGGTGTTTCACTGAAACTAATGTGACCTTTCACCTCTCACAGGGCACCTTCGTACATACAGCCCCTTCGTGTCTGGCATGCATACTTGCTCCCCATCCTCACATATGTGCATTACTCTCATCACAACACACTTAAATCAGGAAATTCAGGGCATACCTGCTTCTTATGTATTGTTCAGAGCCTCTGTATCCTGTATCAATACAGGCTGGAGGCTTGTTTCTTCAAGAGTAGACTTAAGATTACCTTTTCATTTCTGAAATATTTGTTCATGTTTATTATAAGTACTTTTAACTTTAAAGTTTAATTTTTAAAGTCTGTATTGTACTGTCTAAAGCAGAGGATACTATTTGTTAGAAATATAATAAATACAAATCTTAAAAAGATTCATTGCTTTCAATTTTGAGTTAAATTAATGTGTATTACATGATTCAATTTATCCCATTTTTATACAGTGATATATGCTGACCTCATAATTTCATCATATCTTTTATTTATGGCCCAATAATGCCTCTGTCAATTTCCCATGCTTCTGGATTTATGAGCCCAGAGCCAAGCCACGTAATCTGCAGGTTTTCTGAACAGCTAACAATTTTCTAGGAAACTGGTGGATAACTTACCAGCAAATGGATTGACAGCATTTTATTTTGTGTTTTAGAATTTGGCTTTTATGATATGAAACAGTGAATTAATTCTTCCTACATGAATGAAAATTTAATTGGCTAAATAAAATACATCATTGAGTCTGTAAATTTTCTTATATTCTATCTTTGAGCATCACATTTTAAAAGAAATATTTAAAATCACATAGCCATACCTAAATATCAATTTAAAAAATTAACCAAGTATTTTGGAGTACACTTTCTATGTAGGGACACCACTCTTTGATAGTGAAATTGGTTTTGGATGTAAAGTCTCTAACGAGTCTCATTAAAGCACAGGATCATAAGTTTGAACGTGTCCACAGAGAGTGTGTATCTTAAATCCCTTTCCTTTACACATGAGGGTATTCATGTTATTAAATGAGGTCAGGAAAGACAGAGAGGTTCATCTGAGATCATATATTAGATTAATAGCAGAATTAGGATGAGAGTTAGGCTTCCTCTCTCCTTTTAATGAAACAAAGGGTTCTACTTCATAACACTTCTTACTATCACTTTCATTCATTCAGACTACAAATTCTTAACTTTGTTATAATTTGGACCAAAATTGGGTTTCTAATCACCCTGAAAGTTCACCAATGGACAAAAAGAGTCTGTAGTCTATTCTAGATGAGTTGTAATTTGCAAGAGACAAATTCACTTATCAAGGGATTTTAAGAATGTTGAGACACCATTTTATAACACTGCAATTACAATCTCAAGTTTGAATTCCTTCTTGTATTCACACTTGATCCTTGAACAACACAAGTTTGAACTGTCTGGCTGTTTATATCTGATTTTTTTCCTATCCATAGTTCTACAAGCACAGTTTCAATTACCAGGGATGTTCATTATACTTATTATATATATTCATGCATGTATATATATATAAATTTAGTAATACAGCACACATATGTTACATGTACTAAATTTATATAAATCACACACACTAAATATATGTTATATGTAACATATATGTTATATGTACTAAATTTATATAAATTACATACACTAAGTTTATATAAATTATTCATGGATTTTCCCGTGGTTTGGTAGTCAGAGCTCCTAACCCCCATGTTGTTCAAGGATAAATTGAATGTATGATAGGGAAAATTCCTTCTACTAGAAGAGAAAGAAAGAATGAATAGATCAAATGATAAGCCCACTTAGAAAATATCACTAATAAGCAACATTTATACTACATATGTCAAGAGTATCCTCGGCTCCATTAAAAGTCTTGTAAGCTATGTAGGCGGTCTCCTAGCAGCTATGTGAGTCTTACATGGCTTGGTTTGCGTCTGGACTGGACCAGAAGTAGGTAAGTGACCTAAATTAGGTCCACCTTATTTTCTCCTCCTGAAAATAGGAATTGGGATCCAGATATAGTCTGTCAATCTTGGCATGTACTTGGAGCTGCAATACATAAATTTAAGAGCTGTCCAACAGCCTTATGTGACTGGGAAGCAAAGAAAGCTGGGACCTGAGAGAAGAATGGGGCAGACAGGAGAATGTAGGCAGCGGTGGAGTTGGGACACTGTGTGGCTGGCTCCTGCCTTCCCGTTACCAGTGTCAGCTTTCCCTGAGGTTTAACAGCCCGTGGGTTCTAGGGCACAGCCCTGAATAGTGCTGTTATTAGTTAACAAGTTTCTCCTCCTCTTTCCATCTTTTCCTCTTTCTTAATCCTAGCTAAGTTATTTTTGATACCACCACCAGTGGGTCTTAATCCAGAACCTGTTGTAGATATCATATTTAGAGCCCAAGCTACAGTGCTACTGTTGGTGTGACAGGCCATTCCATGGAACAGCCACAGTGTAAGTGAGCACTTGATAATGAGATGCATTACAACTGAGACCCTATGGGTGGAACTCAAGATAGATTAACTTTCAATATACTCCTAGGATAATACTAATAAAGTAGTAACTCATTTATACTTATAAACTGCCTATTAGCTATTTATTAAGAAAGCCATATAATACTACATATGTTGAATATTGCTACATATATATATATATGTATAATATATCACATATAAACATATAATTCAGAATACTTATCCTGAATGGAACAAAGTAATGAGGTTTTCTTGTCATGACATAGCTCACATGCCAATAACATTTTGAAGTAATGAAATAGTTCTGAACTTATGAAAAAAGACAATGACCATATGAACTCATTAGCTATCTAGATAAATTTAAAGACACTAGGTTGTATAAAGATTTATTTCTAAAATACACTAAACACCAAATCCTTATTGAAATATCTATGAAAACAGAATAATGATGATTAAATTAACAAAGATAGCTTGCTATGTATTAAGAATTTTTAATGTATTAGTTCATTTGATCCTCTCCAAAGCACTCTGAGGCGATAATCTATGTCTGAATTACAGTGAGTTAAATGACTTGCACAAAGACGTAGTTAGTAAAAGGCAGAGGTGTTACTTCAACCTATATTAACTGTGGACCACAGGACTGGAGTCTGAATAAGAGAAGTAGGCCAAATGATGACTTCTAAGGAACACTGAAAGTTCTTGAAAACAATTTCATGGAATCAAGAAAAATGAACAATCTTCTAATACCCCCCCCTTTTTTTTTTTTAACAAAACCATTTGGATTATAAATGATCCTTACCTGGGGTTAGAAGGAGAAGGTGGATTCATTTCTTTCTGATAGTGACGACCTTGGTTGACAGGCTATAAAAGACAAGGCACTTGTGAGGGACTAATTGGCATAATGCACTTTACATATGCTTTCACATGTATTCTCATTGTTGTGATTTTTTTTCTTAAGAAGCAATCTGCAAGAAGAGGCTGAGTTTATTTTAAATAAAGTCAATGGCTGTTTGGGAGATCCAGCAAATAACAAAATGATGTAAATGAGAAAATAGTCATTTAACTAGATAGCATCGATGTTATAATTAAAGTTCATGTGTGGAATTATACACATTGTGGAATTTTTATGCTGTTGACATTGTTTGATATTTCCAGATATAGAAAACTCAAAACAAGATATCTTCTGGAATTAATGTTGCATAACAAATGCCAGCTATAACCCAGAGACCTAGAGATATAGAATATATATTTATATCTCAATGTTAGTAAATGTGTAAGAATAACATCTTTTATAATTAATGGAATTTTTCAGGTCAATCTTAGGTTAGTGTGATCATTTTTCCCAAGTGTAGAATGAAACCTCATGCATAAATCAAAGCAGTGAAAAAAACAATGCGAAAATTTAACAAAAATGTGAAATTTCAACTTTTCCCTCTACAAAACCATCAAAAAACAGAGTCAAACAATGATATTCCATTTAGCTTTAAACACTTATCTCTAACAGATGTTTGTTTTTCTCTTTGGTCCTATAAAAGAAGAAAATTCGATCATATTTGACACAAGTTTCTTCTCAAACATCAGCTCCAAGTATTTTCCTTATGTAGTTAACAATCATGTTAACTATAATAATAAGATTTTCATCTTATTAAAGGTTTAAATTTAGTATATTTTGAATTGCATTCGAAGGACTTTAGTTATTTCTTTACCCAGTGGGGATGGCATTAAGATTTTCTTATCCATAATGTGGCCCCACAGGGCTGATCTCAACTGGGGAAAACAGTGTTGAAATATTGAGCACATATCCTTTATCTTCCACATATTCCTTATTTAAATGTCCCCTAAAATATTAATGATGTGGGTGATGGGAATTCTTCAGGATAAACTATCTTCCTCAATAAATAATCTATTGGAAGTGTTCTTTTAATTTAATCAAACACCCTGTCTGATAATCACAGTCACTTAGCCTATCTGTGATGTACCGTGAATTTAAATGTACTCAGATAGTTTGGTAATTGAACCAATATCAATGCATCACCATTTCAGTAATAAGAAACAACAGCTGGGAGAACAGTGGAAGGAAAAACATGTCATAAGACATATTTGATCTCTCTGGAGAAATAAGACTTTTAGCAATTTGCAAGTGAAATTTAGTTCTATGATTTAGGGTTTATTATTTCACAGCAAAAAAGAAATTAGCAAGCAAAGCGCCTGACTAACTCACACTGCTGCAGAAATACTACTGATAATACATTCATTGGTATTCATCTAGTATTTCCACTGTACTCGGGCCTCCAGTGGACTCTGCTTATTTACTTTCAGAGGTCTTTCCATAATTCTCTAAGCATCATAGTCCTGATATTCAGCCAAATTCCCATTTTCTTAATTCTACACCATTAATTCTATTTACACCTGTTCCAGACCTTTATTTCAAATGACTAACTCCATTCTCTGGAGAATAGAAATGGCTACAGAATCCAGTCTCATTTGTGACTTAGCTCTCACTTAACTACACCGACTGGCCCCATTCCATGTTTGCTCATGCTTATATAAATAGATCCAACGCTAGAAGGAGTAAAAGCGAATGCAATCAATGAAAGATTCATATCCACAGTGATTCTGAATTGTTAGAAAACAAAGAAGAAATAACCAGTGGAAACTTTTTGAAGGAGTAAGGACTGCTGACATGAATACATAGAAAGGTAAACAAAATATTCAGTTAAAATAATTATTGGCTATGGGACTCAGTCTGAATGTATTACTCCTTAATTTTTACTGTTGAAAACTAACTACCGAACTGCATCCAAAAACAGTTCATTCACTAACTTAACTTTAATAATACTACAACACGGTGGAGCATTGTGATTTATAAATATAACTGCTGCAAACTAACTTATAAACCCTAACTGCTAATGATCCAGTTTAAAAGTGAAGCAAGTCTTTCTTCAGAGTGGATGCCATACAAAACTGGGTGATCCCAATTTTCTTATTCTTTATATGTCTCCCAATTTTATAATAAAACTCAGTGACATGAGTGACAATGACATAACTAAAAAGTTCCAAGATAGTTTAGTTCCATAACTTTGTTTTGATTCTTTGAAAGCTTTCTTTTAGATAAAGTCTTTTTGTTTTCCTTGGCCCAAATGAAAATGAGAATGTGCCTAATGGTTTCTAAAAGCTCTCCAAGCAAAGTGGGTTGGGGACAATATGATGGGCTATCTGAAGTCAGATGTCTCCATCCACAAGTAAATACATTTTTACACCTAGGCAGCAGTAAACTAATTTTGCCTCTTACTATGTAGGTGACATCCCATAAAAATCCAAGTTTAAAAATTCAGTTTTTTGGGCCCTCCCTGGTGGCGCAGCGGATTAAAGCACAGCACAAAGAAGCTTAAGTCACTTCCGCATGAGTTCAATCCCCGCCTGCCCGGGAGGAGATCCATATGGCGAGGCAGACCTCTCTGACCTGCCCGCTGCTCCCCTCAGCAGTGTACTTCGTTGATCTGCCTGTTCTGCTCCCCACTCTGTCTCTGGTGAATCCTCTCACCCTCCGCATCTCTGGCTTGTACCCCAGTTCTGTACGAATAAATAAATAAATCTTAAAAAAAAAAATAAAAATAAAATTCAGTTTTTGATTTTGGAATTCAGCCATATTTAGAGAATACCATAAGATGAGGCAAGGGAATAATAACAACCAATACAAATAACTGTGACAGTAATAATAATAATAATAAGAAGAAGAAGAATGGTGATTGATATTGAGGATTTATTCTGTTAAATTTTTGTATTATCTGTTTTGGTCCTGATAGCAATTCTATGAAACAGATTAACTTAATAGCTCTACCTAACAGAAGAGGAAATTCAGAAACTGTGCCAACCAGAAGGTAGTGGAGCCAGAATTTGAGCCCTACTGATTCCACTATGTATCCTCATACCCACTAGGTTATAGTGCTTAATCCAGGTGGGGGAAGTTTCACCTAGAGTAAATACCTAAGGTTTTGAATAACAAAAAATCAGTATGTTTATGGCAGGGAAAAAGAATTGTTCTAAAATGCATTTATTTGAAATATAAGGCTATCCTCTAACATAAATTATATTCTTTTGATTTCATTCTCATGACATGTACATATATACTAAAAATTAAAAAAAAAAAAAGTTTGCTGGCCCTCTCTGGTGGTGCAATGGGTTTAGGCACAGCACTGCAAGGCTTGAGTTCAGTCCCTAGCCAGGGAGATGACCCACATGGCCGGGCAGACTTCTGCCTTGCCTGTTGCTCCCCTCAGCAGTGTTTGTCAATCTACCTGTTCTGCTACCCACTCTGTCTCTGATGAATCCTCTCACCTCCCCATATCTCTAGCCAGTGCCCCAGTTCTGTATGCATACATAAATAAATGCTATAAAATAATAAGTTTGCTACAAAACTAAATTTGGAACAAACTAAAAGATCATACTAAGAGGAGGAAAGTTTATTTTACGGGGTGACTTTCATAGTCACTAAACACAGAACAACTCGCGCATTTCAATATTTTCTCCTGACAGCATAGATATTACACTGATTCTAATATCAGTTTTCGTATATCATTTCTATGGTGGTATGAGAACATCTGCTCATCTGATTTATTTGCAGCGTAGCACAGTCAACTACTTACCTTTTCAGCTTGGGAGGATTAAAGGAATACTCATTACACCCAAAGAGTGCTGAGAAGTTAATGAATCTGTACATCACAAAAAATTAAGACCTATTAACTTATAAAGAGCCTGAAATGCCAGTATATTACATATTGGACACACAGCAGGTAGCAATCATCCTGTAAAGCGCTGAGCTGATACGCCATAGAGCAAAGAAAAGGAAAAGATCTTAGAAACTGAGGACCTGGTCCTGTTGGTGGCACTGTTGCTATGCACAAGCTCAGGAAGACAGCACTCACATAACTACCAGAAGCACAAGAAGCTTTGCTTTTCCATGATCCAGCCGTTAGAAATTTTGGGGTGAGGGAGAGAAGTGAAGGCTAAATAAAAGAGCAGGAGATAAGATAATCCTGCTGTGTTAAAGGTAAAGACAATATTTTTATGTTGTTATAGAAAACCTATGAAAATGGCAATAATGTTGCAAGGTTAATCAAGACCATAAATAACTTGTCTGAGAACCTCACCATATGTTTGTGATTTTATTAAGTCCGGTTTTTCTCCAAATAATGTGCTCTGCAATGTGCCATATTGATGGATGTATATGATGGTTTTTTTTTTTTTTAACAAGCTGAGGAGACTCATGTGCTTGATATTGGAAAAAAGGAAATTCTCAACTTCAAGGACTGACAGCTTTGGGGCATTTGCTCATAAGGTAGCATGCTCACAAAGCATGCATATCTTGAATCCTGTTTAGAGATGGGTCAGAAAGATATGGAAATACTGACTGAAATACTGTGATAATAAAGGAGTCTAATGGTGAAGCTCTGTGTTCCAATGTTTAAGTTTATCTCAAAACAAGTATAACAGAACTTTTGTCCACCATTATTGCCTTTAGTGGTCATAAAAAGAGAAAAATGTTTTCTGATCATTCAGGTGACCCTTTGAGGAGAATAACCTTTGAGGAGCAGCAGATGTAGCTAGTATGCACTTCCTCTGTCAGGCATTGGGCACATGCCAGTCATTCAGATCTCACCAGGCCAGTCTGAGGAAGATGCTCTATTCTGCACATTTTGCAGGAGGTCATGCCACTGACTGGATTGGGCTCAGGTTGCCTGATGGAGAATCCATATTCTTTTGCTCATCACATGAAGCTGTGCTTATAATAGCTATTCCTTTTCCTTAAAATGTGGTCCCCTCACCTTCCATTCACACACACACACACACACACATACACG